TATATAATTCAGCCTATCTGAGCCATTTTCAGCAAGTGCATAAACCAAGAATAAGCTCTAAATATTAAATATTTCCCTTTTTCACTATAAATATTTTCAAAATAATAAAATAATTATTAATTTCTTTAATATACATACAGCTTCTGGTAAAATTGTTCTATAATATCGGAGTTCTGCCAAAAGAAGCTGAATCATTTAGGATTCCATAACCGAAAAAATTGGGATTCACTGCTCTAGACAGTAATTGGAATTTCGATTGATGATTAAATTACTGCACTAAAACCACTAAAGTGTGGATCATAAAGTTTGGAGCTCTTGATAAAAAATTTGCATGTATATGAACCAATGCATTAAAGTAAATGTCTGAATTACGATTTAGATTCCGAATGATTTTAAGCAATCCGACAACAAATTCAAACATGATTATAATTCTTCCGACCTTCGAATAGAATTTTAAGGATTATTCTTTCTTGTTAATCTTCCTGCTTAACTTCACACCGTGAAAGTAAATCTGCTTCGCAACCATATCTTGCGACATTCATGATTGTAGTATGATCATCAAATATCTAATTCAATATTCTAACTGTTAAATACCATTAAACCAATAAAATATTACTTACAGGCTCAACGTCTACGTAAGTTCTATGTTGGTCAAGGATTGGATCCACACCATGGACGGAATTTTTAAGTTCATCTTCTCCCTCTAAAAAGTGTGGCAAGGATAGAACGTAAGGTGCACCTGAAACATTCATGGTCAATTTAGTTGAAAAGAACGCGATTAATATTTATTTCATCTTAAAAAAATTTTCTTATTCGTAATATGACTTTCTACTGACCTTGAAAAGTTTTGATATGTAGGCTGACGACAATTACTTGGACAATTTTTGATGCGCGATAAGATATGCTTCTTGAAGAAGCGGTTGAAATGAATAAATTTTTATTTTTTCTGAATATCTCTTTTTTAAGGATTTCTTTTTTGAGGATTTTCACGAACTCAGCTACAATTTCAATAGTTTCAATGCTATATTTCAGAATATAATGCTATATATTATCACGATGGCTCAGGTGATAGAGCGTTCCCCTTCCAATGAGGTGAACCGGGTTCGAATCCCAGCGATGGATGGTCGATACGAAGCCCGCATCCGGCTTGCACCAACCATAGTGTTGACATAAAATATCCTCAGTGGTATCGAGATCATAGATTAGAGTCCCCTTGCCGTCAGATAAACAATGGAAGTTTTTCGCGGTTTTCCTCTCCTCCTGACGCAAATACGGGTTAATTCCACCAAAAAAGTCCCTCACGAAGGCAATTCCTCCTAATACTTGATTCAGAAGTTCCCTTGTCTTCTGGATTGAGTTCAAAATTACAAGGCTATGGAGTTGAACATTGATAGTCGTAAACCCAAATTTGAGTCGACTATTCAACGACGGTTATAAAATTAAAATAAAAAATGCTACATTTTAAATGTGCTAATTAATTGCTGCAAATATTAAATTAATTTGCGAATTTAGTGCACATATGTACTTTTGTTTAATAAAAGTGTCCTTTTATCAACGGATTTGGATTTTTTAATTGGAAAATACAGCTGCTTTAACTGTATTTTATTTCTTTATTATTTTAAAACAAGTACATCTCCAGTTATTTCTGTTGCAAAATAAAGGGCAGACAAGGTAGGGAAAACAATATATTCATTAAATATTTTAGCTCTGTATCTTAAACTACCGTTATGTGGGGCTACTTTGTGCAAATTCGAATTTGGCACTTTTCAAGTGCTGCTATTCAGTATTATGTTTTTTTCAAGTTAAAAATGTGTGGAATTTGAAGATAGAAGTCTCCTCTATTACTACAAACATTTTTTTGAATTTTAAAACAATCTCAGAGTGTGTTTTGTTTATCCAATGTCAACAACTTTCCGAGAACGTCGGACGTCGAAAAGTGTGCGTGGAAACTTTAGCTGTGAAATGCAAAGACGTTGATAAAACAATTGTCGTAAGTGCAAAATTTTTTATTTATATATTAATAAACAATTATATCATGTTAGCGTTAAAAAAATTTGAAAATTAATAACAAATAAACGGAAAATGAAAAAAAATGCACTTTGGGGCTACTTTGTGCAAAGTTTCATTCGTTTTTTTTTTCGACAGAAAAATGGTCAGACGTTATAAAAAAATACCTGGAACGAGAAACTACCGTGATTACACTTTAGAAAAGCTGCAACAATGTTTGCAAGCAGTTGCTGGTGGTATGTCGATTGCAGAAGCTTCTCGGAAGTACAAAATCCACAGAAATACTATCTCTAATAAAATTCACAAGAAACACGTGAAACTTCCTGGTAAACTATTATTTTTCTTCTACAAAGATTTTTCTAATGAATTAATCAAACGATTTAACACATAAAAATATATTTTATAGGACATCAGGTGATTTTGACAGAAACTGAAGAGCAAGTTCTGTCATGTTCATTCAAGCATGTTATGTTCAAATTTATCAATATTATAAATGTTAATGAATATGTAATAATTATTATTTTTGAAATTTCATTGATTTCTATGCACAAAAATGTTTATGGTTTCCATTTGTTTAAGCTCAAATGTTTTGAAATAAACATTCTTTTTAAGAAAAAAATTCTTTATAGAAAATGTTTTTTTTAACGCTGAAAATTATTTTCAAACTAATATCTTTACATATCTTGATGTTTTTGTTATTAAAAAAGTCAACAATTAACTTTTTTAACAATTTTATATAAATATTTTACTAAAAACATGATTATTAAACTGAATTCCTATCGCTGCACAAAGTAGCCCCACTTGGGGACTACTTTGTGCAAGGTATGTTTTGACTTATTATTTGTAAATTTTACATACAAATAATGCCAATATTGATCAAATTCACTCGTCTGAGTCCAGTTATGAATATAATATCGATAAATTTTACTGAAGTTTGAATTAACATAGTTTTTTTACACGTCAAAGTACAAAAACTGCGAAATCCTGCACAAAGTAGCCCCACATGACAGTACTCAAAAGTGAGTCACCCCACTATTCAAATAATATAATTCTCACTTCGTTTTCTAGTATTTTTCCAACATTGTCTACCCTTTATTTGGCAACAGAAATAACTAGAGATGTACTAGAAATAACTAGAGATGTACTAGAAATAACTAGAGATGTACTAGAGATGTGTAGTACTGTACCACTATTCAAATAATATAATTCTCACTTCATTTTCTAGTATTTTTCCAACCTTGTCTACCCTTTATTTGGCAACAGAAGTAACTAGAGATGTACTAGTTTCAAAATAAAAAGGAAAGGTCTTGTAGTAAAGCCAAATGCATTTTCCATTAAAAAAATAGAATTCAACCACAATTCAAATCAGGACTTTATATTTTCCAGATTGCTGCAATCCTCTACTTTTTGAGAATTAAAAGCTGATATCCGCTTTAAAAAAAAGTCATTTTCATTAAAAAAAGTACATATCTGCTCTAAATTCAAAAATTAGGTAATCTCTCTGGCCACTAGGTTTAACATATCTATCTTCAGAGCCGAAGCTAATTAGGAAAGAGTAAATAAAGTAAATCAATTTACAATGTGTACACTAGCATTTTGTTTCAAGTGCCTAAATACCCAAACAAACCAGCTAAGCCAGATCACAAAATAAGGTTTATTTTCACTCAGCAAAAACCTTTAAAAGTAAACCTAAAAAGGTTTTTAAGCGGTTTACGTGTAAACCTTCTAATCTTAAAGCGAGATCTGTGACAATTTGCTCTATTCTACGCACATTGCCCTAATACAAAACCTTGGAAAACAACTTTCAATATAAAAACCTGAAAATCGAGGTTTTCTTAGGGTTTTTAAGCATGAAAAAATCCTTGAATAAAGCTAGTTTTAAGGAGAAAATAATCTTAAATTTTGGTAATTATAAGGTTTCTTTTCGCAACGTCTTGCATGCTCAGCTAAAACCCACCTTGTCATGAAATTTTAATTGGCAATGCAATTTGATCCTAACGCTAGTGTGACGTCAGTGAAAATGTGATTATGTACCTAAGTAACAGACGCACNATTAGTTGAGATTTTTTAGGTCATCAAAATCCGGGCTCTAGTGATTATGTACCTAAGTAACAGTTTTATCTAAGTGACAATGCTATTTAAAAAAGCCTTAAAACTCATTTTTAATCCTTTTAGGATGAAAGGTTTGAAACTGCAGTATTTTTGCTTTATTGAAAAAAAGCTTTTCATACAAACATTTTCGTGACAAAAAAAAAATCACAAGGTTGTCGTAAGATTACGTACTTTCTGGGAATGGTTTATCTCTTTAGCCGCAAGGATTAGAACGACTAATTTCGACAAAACTTTGGCTAATTAGAAAAAAACAGGAACCATTCCCGTCTCCTCACCTGTAAAACTATTTTATGCCATAAATGTGTGGGAGAAGCATACCTTTTTTGCAATTCATGGGAAGTATTCCAGATCTACAATCTTGCCCTTCGCAATAGCACTTATTGTCTGGATTTATATCACTTGATGCAAAAGTATTTTTGGCCATTCCAAATCTTAAGGTTTTGATTCCGTGGACAGTTATGTCTCGCTCATACGCCAGAGGAATAGTTCTGCAAATAAATGTTAATAATATAACAACAAATTTATCACGAATTTTATTATTCCATTTTATAGAGTTCCAATATGATTTTCGTTCACCTGATTTCATAACACTCAATCGTACATGCAAAAACTACTGTTGCACTTTTTGAAATGTTTAAATGACTAGTGTTTATATCTAATGAGATAAGAATTTTTACCACTGATGCATTTAAACACGCACTAATGTAATCCAACTTTGGTGACAAACATAGTATATTGGAAAAAATAACCTTTACTGGCGACTTTATTGCGTTACATTAATTGAACACTACAATCTTTAATATAAACACCACATTCTTAAACTTGATTGTACGGTTCAATTTGTACGGATTTTAATTTAACACGACATTATTACGTTACATCGTTCATGTTGAAAATATTATGATTCAGCTAATTTTTCCGTAAGTGCAGTTTTATATTTACGCCCGGTGGCCCGGGATCCTCGGGCCTGGCAAGGTTGACTCAGCCTATCATCCCATTAAGTGGGTCGATAAATGAGTACCAAGCATGCTTGAGAGCTAAACACTAGAGATTCCGCGTTTGGCTTACCACCTAACCGGAACATCTGCTCCTGCACCCCAGAGCCCAAGGTCAAGAAAACTGAGATGGGCACAGTAGGCCTTGGCCCTCTATGGGCTGTCGTGCCACTGAGTTTAGTTTAGTTTAGCAGTCTTATATTTAACTAAGAAGTTTTGAAAAGGTACCGTTTTATCAATTTTGAATATTTTATGACGATAATTTGTAGTACGCACTCTATTTTTGATATGCTTTAAAATCTATTGCATGTCCCTGGATATTAACTTAAAACCATTAAACATTCAATTCGATTTAAGTTTGCCAACGAAAATAAGAAATCGCGAAACCTTCCCTTTCTTGCTGTACTGTAGTGTGAAACGGTGCAAAAGAATTCAACTAACTTTGACGCCAGAATTAGAACACCAGCGTTTCATCAGGATCAGAAGTAAAGGCATATACTTAGACATTTACTAGCGGCAGAAGAGCTATTCTTAGTTTATTTATTTATCACCGATTATGAAAATTTATCCATACGCTGCAAATGCGCGTAATTTTGAGGGTGATTCAGAAGATAAGGGAACTTTCTCGCCCAATATAAAATGATAAACCTGTGTTCGTTAAAAGCGTTTTGAATGAAATTTAATGGTATTGCTTACATGAAGATATCACGGAAATCTTTTAAAGTTATCCAGGTGGTCATCATCATCATAATTGGCCAGACAGCCCAATGTGAGCCAATGCCTTCCTCAGAAGATTTCTCCATAATGACTTCCGATTTATCCTTGATCCCAATTATCCAGGTGGTAATAACATTTTATTTCTGTCACTATAAATAATTCATGTTCATACAATTGAGGGAGGCGGTATTCGGTTTAAAAAGTTATTTAACATTTGCCCATTGCGTCAATAGCACATTCCTCTTAGCGTAAGAGAAGTATTCGCGAGAAAAAAAAAATGCTGGCACCAGTCTAGTATTGAACTTAGTAAAATTGGAACATTATCATTAGCTTTATTTTAAATGAAATAATATGTTTCACTAGAAATATTCGCAAAATATTTTTTATCACTTTTAGTTCAGTTTCATAGTAATGACACCTACCTGCATAAATTAGGATTAAATAAAGTAAGTGAATAATTTCGTTTCACTCCTGGGGCATATTGAACACCATCTGCGAAAAAAAAAATAAAGCTATTAGGAATTTTAAAAAAAATTTAAAAAATAAATTAATATGCATATATATATATAAATAAATACAAGAAAACACGAAGAAAGCTAAGAAAAACAATAAGTTTTATTTATTGCGCTTAAGCTGCAAGTAAACAGAACTCATTAGATAAGTTCAAAATGAAGATAAAACAAAGAAAAATTGTAGACAAATGGAAAAAAAAAGAGGGGGGGGGGAAATAATAAGTAAAAAAATAAGAAACAACAGTTTTTTTTAAAAAAATAAATAAATAAATAAAATAAAGAAAGGATGAAATTTTATTTAAAAAAACCGGGGAAAAAAAGATATAATCTGTGTGTATGCTGTCTTTGTTTTATCTTCATTTTGAACTTTTATACATATATATATATATTTTAAAATTTGGTTGAAAAAGANATTCATTTGTATTCAACCTCAGATCTAATGATCTTACTTCGTATCTCATCTAATGATTTTAATTACTTATTAAGATGCAATTTTAATAGCTCGCCGGGAATATTAAATATGCTAATTAATTAAAGCTTGTGATTTAATGTAACGATACTCCCTCCTTCCCAAAACCGTCTATCTCTAATTTTTTTTTTTAATTTTTGGATCAAATTTTAATTTTTGAACTACCAAAAAAAGAGGATCTATAAAATATTATCCCAATAATTAAGTCACTAAATGCGCGTAACATTAAGGACTAAATTAAAATTTTTAAAAAAATTATCCATTTCTCTTTCAATATCATTTTACTATAAATAATTCCATAAGGGCAATCGAAATATGAAATAAAAAATTGATTATTGATTAGATATAATATAATACAAGATTTCAAGGGTTACTGCTTAAACCAAATTTCTTAACGCTAGGAACCCTTTAACACTTTTGTGGAACCCTCTGGCTCCGTGAAACACCATTTGGGAACAACTGTCTTAGAGCAAGACATAAAAGCCACTTTTTCTGTTAAATTTAATTTGCAATTTTATATTTTTATTAAATGCGTGGAAATAGAAACTGCAATTTTGAAAACAAAAGTTTTCGGTAAACCGTTACCATATGAATTATGTAAATACCGCAATATTTTGGTTTTATTGCGAAAGTTTTACCAGTAATCACACAATATAGCTTTATCCGTATTTTGGTAAAGAATTAAAAGGAGCATTTGTCCCTTACTGCATATCACGTAAATTTAAGTACAGCTTATGTTCCTAAGCTTTTGCTAAAATAAATCATATAATTTTTAAATCAAATCAAATAGTATTGTTTACTATATTTGTACACTCAATAAAGACACAAATAGATTTGATGTCACAGTTGATAGATAATGGTGATGATTTTGAATTTTAAACGTGATAATTTTTATCCGAAAAAAATGTTTAAAGAAATACCTGTTCCGATAACTTGATTGCATTCGTCTTCATACCACCAGTTAACTGCACTGAAATATTTAAAAAAAATAGCTGCTATAGCAAATTATTTTATTTTGAAATAGAAATGTGTCATATAACATCAAGCATCTCAATTTAGACGTTATTCATTTATTTATTTTAATTGTGATTGTTTAGGCTTAGGAGTAAATCAAGTCCGTAAATATGAACTACTTCTGTTTGTATTTGGGAATTTTTTGGTTAATTGACCGATATCAATGTTCATATATAATTGTAAAAGTATTGTAATTGACAACTGAGCAGTTTAAGAAAAATTGTCCGTTTAAAAAACGCAAAATTGGGAAAACAATTTTGCGATAGATCAAAAATAACTAAATATTTTTCTTAAAAAGTATTTTTAAAATGTCTTCTTTTTTCTTTATAAATTTGAGTAATTTTTTTCTACAACTGAATCAAAAAAAAAGTGTGTAATAAAAATAATTTCCTCAGAATGCATGATCATCAATCTGGGCAAATAATATCGAAGTATCTTTTCGTGCTAAATATTGTCAACTACCATCATTAAGTAGTACGCATAATGCTCAATTGATATCTCCTTCCCTCCTGCATACATTTTGGTTTTATTAACCAGAATTATGCTTTATTTTTTTCCACCAATGTCCTTTCCATATAATTTTACCAGAATTTTTTTCACCGTGTGCTTTTTCCTAAAGTTACTTTCTACGTCATTACAAAATGCCGTGCTTTCGCAACAGTACTTGAGTTACATAAGCTTTGAAAATTTTGCATTAAATTTAATATCTAAAAAGTGATTGGATAATAATAGATGCAAAACAAATCAATTACACAAAATTTTAAAATCTGGGAACAATTTGCTCTCGATGCAAATAACAACAACATAAGTTATGACGATTTTAAGAAACTTCCTGCAAAAATGCTAATTGAAAATAAATGAATAATCCATGCAGAACGGCTCAAATCAACGCAAACTCTTGAAACCTTAGAATACTTTGTTTAAGATTCAGTTACGTAGTAATATAGATTGAAAATCTTGAAATATATATAAATACTGAAAACAGCTAGGATTGTAATCGATGCAAAACGAATCAAACCAAAAATCAATTACACAATCTTTCGAATCCAGTTAACAACAACATAAGTTATTAGGACTTTAAAAATCTTGCATCAAAATTAAAAATAGAATAGATAGTAATTCCATGTAAAATTATTCAAATTGAATTTGACTTCAAATGCAACATATTATTTTTTTGAACAAGTCAATAAGTTTGACATAAAGTAATTGTTGTTGATAAAAATAAAACGTAAAGCATTATCTCCAGAAGAGAAAGCAGATTGCATAAATTGCCACAATGATTAGGAATCATATGTAAATTTGTTGGACTACCCGTTGAGAATCTGAATTCAATCATCATTTTTGACAGTTTCACGGTAACACCTAATCAAAGGTGAAATCGTTGGCAAAGTGACTTAGCCAATAAAAAATTCGGATAAAATCCTGGCAAATAATTTCTAGTTACGCCTTTTTATTCCTTTCGGATCATTGTCTTATGAAATAAGTATTCTCATTTAATTTCTTAAAAGCTTTTTTTTCATATTAAACTACAACTCCTGAAGATCTCAGAATGATTAATAATAGAGTTTGAGATTTTTTCATTTATTGTTGCTCAACTTCTTTTTTAATATTGTTTGAATATGCACCACTTACGGTGTTCAAAGCAAAATAGTGAACAGTCTGAATAACTTCTGATTTAATGATTGGATTTCCACGTACTAGAATTCCATCTTAATGGTTTGAGAGCCTAAACTTAAATAGACTTATTATTCAATGTAGATGATATTTTAAATTCTGAAATCAGACCCAAAAACTTCTATTATTAAATAAACTACTACTTAGAAAATTAATAAAAAATAAAAAAGTTGTTATTAAAAATTATTTTTTGCATCGTTGCATAAATAAACTTGTCAAGAAGTTTTTGTAAAACTGTATGCAAAAGTTCTTGATTCGTTAAAAAAGTATGGCAAAAAAACCATATTTTCTCAATACGCATTGTTCTCAAAATATGGCAAATACGCAAAAAAATTAACTTTAAGGAATCTGAAACATAATTAATAAACTATAAATCAAAACCAATAAATCGAAACCAAAAAAACAAAAGATATGGTAGTATAAAAATATTAGATAATAAGAAATATTAATTCGATAGAAATATTAGATCCAATAAATCAAATTATATGGCAGTTATACACATCCGCATAGAGGACAGATTTTTTCCACTCTTATTAAAAAATTGCAGTTGCTGTTGATTACAAGTTGGTAGCTGTTACTACTAGTATGGCAGTAAACTATTTAAATAGAATGGCTTCCTCAAAAAATTCGTATAACTGTCATTTTGTTATGAGCATCTTTGATTATGTTAATGTTCACAGCTTATTATTTCCATTATAAAAGACCTTTTTCACTGAAAAAAATTCCTGAAATATGCTATTTTTTTCTGCCCTAGAATGCCTTAACCCGTTAGCCCTTCAACCCTTAAAAATTAAAATACTTGAGAATTCCTCCTTTTTTATTTATTTACTTTTTTCCTAAAGAAATTGGAACATAATATAAACTCTTATTAAAAGTATTAAAGCTTATTTTAGGGAAATACCAAGTTGTAAAAAAATAACGCACTTTGTTGTCTAGCCTGAGGCAATAGTCAATTATGAATACTAGTTTCTAAACTGCGTTTCAAAAAAAGGCAAAATGGAACGAACTAATAAGGTAAATGTTTAAAATATTCATTTGTATTTGAATTACGATATCTTCTTGCCACCTAGTGTTCATGCTAGCGTTACTTATATTATTTAGCAACTAATCTTGAGAGATTTTTAAAGATTGGCATCCTCGCTTCATCGTCGAACCTGTTTATGAGAAAATCATTGCATATTCCTGAGATTTGAGATTAACATAATTTTGATTTATAAAAAAAATCTGTAGATTAAATTAACTCAGTAACAGAAGTATTTATTTATAAATATTCGTAGTATGTATATCAAATGAAACGAAAATTGAAAAACTGTAAAAATTGCATTTGAATTACGATATCTTCTTGCCACCTAGTGTCCATGCTAGTGTTATTTATATTATTTTGCAACTAATCTTCAGAGATTTTTAAAGATTGATTTCTTCGCTTTATCTTCGAACCTGTTAATGAGAAAATTATTGCTTATTCGAGAGATTTGAGATTAGTGACATAATTTTAATTTGTAAAACAAAATTGTAGATTAAATTTGCTCAGTCAATGATGTATTTGTTTTTTAAATATACGTAGCATGTGTATACAATTAAACGAAAATTGTATTATATTTTTTTAAGAGAATTATTTCACACCTTTATTCTTATATCGATCCTATAAGTTTTAAAAATTAGTATTAGAGGGCATTGAAAACTAATAAAAATGTTATTAAATTTTAATTTCTAAATTATTCATAGTTGTTTTAGAGGTAGTGTCACAAAGCCAATCATTAAGTCGTTTTTGCATTTTGTGCATAGAATAGGGTGGGGGAAAAAAAGTCGAAGTATTTTCAATCTTTCAGCAATAATGGAGAAAAGTTACCATCATTAAGAAATGTGCAACAACTTATAACTTTCAATTGATATCGTGTTCTGATTGTGAAAATAAACTTAAAATATTGTCACAGATTTTGTTGATCTCCTGGCTGCAGCGCCAATTTCTTTAACAAAATGAATTTTAAAAAAAACTTTTAAATTTTCTGTTATCTCAACGTCACCGAATTCTGAGTTATGTTAACTTTTATAAAAATTGCATAAATATAAGTGGTTTTTTGAAACTCTTTCGTCAAGGAAAATAACCGAAGTTCCTTACGCTTGAGGCATAGCTTTAATTTTAAACAATCTTGACACTATCTGGGTATATAAAAAAAGAAAATAATTATCATTAAATTTTTATAAGTCGCTAACCTGGTGAGATTTTTTCACCTTGAGGAAAATTTTCCGAAATTAATGAATAAATAATTCCCGATTCATGAGAACTTTTATCAGACCAAATAATACAGCGAAGTAACTTTTTAAATATTTAAAAGAATATCGCACGCTTTTCACAAAATTGCGTCTTTTCATATTAACATTTTGCACCATTTTCAAATTTAGAGTAGAGGCCGCTGGCTTAAGATAGGCTACACTTGACTAACAGTCATGAGCAGTTTAAAAATAGCATATTTTTATAATCGTTATTTCACTTTTAAAAAAAATGGCAAAAAGAAATAATCTTATATTCAATCTTAAGATTTGCTCGATAATATTGTTCAATGTTGTAGCAAAGTAGAACTGTATCATTATCAAAAATTTCTGTAGTGAAATATTGATGTAGGTTCGAAAGAGACATATTTTTCTGTTCGACAATTTTCTCTCGCGTATGTCATTTGACAATAGTCCAAAAAAAAAAAAAAAAAAAAAANCCGTCTCAAAAAAAAAAAAAAAAAAAAAGGGGAAAAAAATGTTTTACTTTGAAATATATTTCCAATAATTTATAAACATTTCGCTATTTCTTTTTTAAACAACTCTTAAATCATTTAACATCATGATGTTAAACGCTATAATTATGGGTGTGGAAATACAGCATTTAATGATGTCTTCAAGTGCAAAGTTATTCAGATAGACCTATTTATTTTCATCAATATCCTTAGGCTTATTTATTTTTCCATTTTGTTTATTTTCTTACCTGTTCTATTACATCATTACGAATTGAAGTTTGATCAAGGTGAACCATGGATTAGATTCATAAAAAAGTGCTTCATTTTTTTAAGTGATTAAAGCAGAAAATTGTAAAACACTGAATAATGAACAAGAAAATTAAGTTTTTTTTTTCTATAACGATCAGCGGAAATATTAATATGGTAAAAGCATTACGTTTAAAGATAAGCATCTACTTTTTGTAGTTTTTGGACTTGTATGTTTGCAAAAACATGACTTTTAAAGTTAATTAATATTAAGCTAATTCACTTATATTTATTCACAAGTCATTTTTACTTTGAAAAGTCATTTGTTTTTATTGCCTGTTTTTTAAAATATTTAGATAGTTCAACAACAAATGTGCTTTCCTGAACAAAATGAAAGTTTAACCTCATTAAATTATTCAGCTCTAAATAGTTTAAACCTACCTTCTAACCGTTCTCGGAATCTTTTTATTTATATATATATATATATATTATCTAANATATATATATAGAATCCCACCGGCCGAAGAATCTTCATGTACTAAATCGTGACTGGTGAGCGTTAAATCTATCGGAGTCACAAAGTCCTCCAAGTTTCCGTAACCTCTGGGGGTACTGAATAGGAGACTGATCGTTCTCTGGTTGAGGTCAAAATTACGATCTGTGGATGAAAAATGGAGTATGAACGGGTCCTCCCTATAAAACGGGCTGTGACATGTGTGTGTCTAAAGTTACATTCTAGACCATAGATGGCACCACTGAAAAACAAGAATCGCACCCTCTGCCTTAAATATCGCTTGGATTTCTGTAGCAGGTATGCTACTATTGGTAAATGACATTAGTAACAACAACAACAACATGCTCGATACTGGTTTACTTAATGTAATGAATAACTGGTTGTAATAGTGCATCGCATTGATTGTTATGAGAACAACATCCTCTTCTGACAATTTTAAAAGTAGTATTAGCTGTAGACTTGAATTTGTTACGTAAGTAATCTTTAGATAATTTCTCTTCACAATATATATATATACTCAATTGTTACCTGTAGTTATATTTTCATTCTCTTCGAACACATGGATAATTACTTTTTGATAGAGGTAATCACAGATGTTTTTTTTAAAACGATTGACTACGATTTGGAGTTCTCTTTTTAATATTTAGATTATCGGTTATATTTAGATTTTCTTTATTTGTAAAAAGCAAGGTGAAGCTCAAAATAGACAGGATACTCATTAATGATACCCATTAGGCAGGATACTCATAATAAGTATTTTTAGAATCCGCGTTAAAAAAGAAATAAAAAAAGTGTGCACATTAGAGATCATAAATAAATTATTTAGATGAAGGAAACGTTTGGGTAATCTAACGAACAGTTTCTGAGGAAGCTGAAAACGTTAAAACGAGTTTTGTTGGAAACGATAGAGGGGAGTTGAAAAATTTATTAGAAAACCTCAAAATTTCATCAGGCAATCAAACTGGTTTTTCATCCCAACTTGACACAGTTTAGAGAGGTTTTTTTACGATACGCAATGTGTATACTTATTGACTTCTTTTTTGAAAAAGATTTCCAAAAATATATGTTAAAGACTGTGATTACGGAATGCCCTGCATTTATATTACAATGACAAAATTGTGAATAAGGGCGAGTGTTGTACCCTAGATGTGACTTCGACATGTATTAATTATCATTCCCTTAGCTTAAAAATTCTGTGTTCATTATATATAGCAAACACTTTTGACAAAAGGAACTCTCTGCTTTGTTGGTGACAGTTTCAGGTTTTCCAAGCATGGGTTAACGAATTTTTTAAAAATGTTTTTAAGTTTAAATGCTTTTTGTTAGATGGAACAAAATTAAAAAAAAAGTGTGTGATTTTGTTCCTTGAACTAGTTACAGTATTGCAGCTTCACCCGATTCAAAGTATTTACGCCAGATTCAGTTGGACAAATATATTTCCCTATATAAGCTCTAAATTTCGTCATCAACATATCTTCGGACTACCTCAACTAGCTGGCTACCCCATCAGAGTCGAAAGTCTCTGTGGTGATAGATACCAGCCTCAGTGCTTCAGATTGCCAAGATGTAGACACGTACAAAGTAACTGTGCCTCTCCATCACGATGCTTGAACTGTGCAGATTCTCACTACATTTACCTTTGCAAGAAAGACAAGTCAACACACGTCAAGTACGGCCCGGACCATTCTACCAACTTCTCCGGCTGCAGCGCCTGACTCAAGAAACTGCACCACCAACGTGAACCCTTCGGCAATTCCCCCAGCAAAGCCAGTAGTGTTGTTGTTGTAGTTGTAGTTCATTTACGTCGCACTAGAGCTGCACAATGGGATATTGGCGACGGTCTGGGAAACATCCCTGAGGATGATCCGAAGACATGCCATCACAATTTTGATCCTCTGCAGAGGGGATAGCAGCCCTGCTTCGGTAGCCCGGCGACCAGCACGCGAAGTCGAGCACTTTACGGTAGAACAGTTTAACGAGGACCAATACAGCACACCCTCGGTCCCTACGCAGATTGATTCAAATGGTCACCCACTCGCATATTGATCGCAGCCAGTGATGCTTAACTTTGGTGATCTGCTGGGAACCGTGTCTTAACGATCAGTCCACTNTTTTTATAATAATAATCGTTTTTATTAGAATAATAATCGTTATACAATAATAACGATTTTATTTATAATAATATCGTTTTTATTTATAATAATATCGTTTTTATTTATAATAATAATCGTTTTTATTAGAATAATAATCGTTATACAATAATAACGATTTTATTTATAATGATATCGTTTTTATTTATAATAATATCGTTTTTATTTATAATAATAATCGTTTTCATTTCTAATTTTTATAATAATAATCGGCAATAAATATCGTTTTTGAATAAGCTACATTTTTTGTAATTTTATTCAAAAATAAGTAAGTTTTATTAATCAGTTAGATAGTTCACTCTTGTCGGTCAGAACTGTATTCTTTATTTCAAAATGATTTAAAAAACACTATTTATAAGTAGATTTTAATGGTTTAAAGAAGTTTAGTTAATTGTGCAAAAATGGTTACAGAAGCTTATTTTAAAGTTAAAACACGCAAAACAAATTTTCTTTGAATATTCCCAAATTATTTTTCTAGTCAAAAGCAGGAAGTAAATTTTAAACAGTCACATTTCTCTCTGGTTTAATACATTCAAAATTCCATCAAAATTAGGTGTTTTCACTGAATTTAAGATAGAATTCTTGTTCATTTTTTTTTTGCATTTCCTTCATTGTTTGTCTTTTTTTAAATGTTGTAGGAAAAAAATTAATTAATTTGCCTGAATATAAATGAACACAATTACAAGGGGGAATAATTGACTTTCAATTTTTTTCTGATGTAATTCAGAATATTCGAGACAATTAACTCGAAATAAGAAAAAACACATATCTCGTATTAAAGTCATTATCAATTTACCGCCGATATAAACTTTAACGTTTGTTTCGTTCTCTCTACTTTTATTAATAAAAAAAATATATATTGGACATCCATTTAATAAAAATGAATGTTTCTTTTTATCTTTTAGGTTAAGAGCGATCGTAGCTTCAGCTCTAAGAGCGGAGTGAACTAGCCCTTGTATTCTCTTTAGCCCTGGGTCCAAGTGGTCACTCACCCGCACACTGACCGCAGCCATTGATGTTTGACTTCAATGATCTGTTGAAAACCGTGTCTTAAAGATCAGTCCACTTCGGGATTCAAAGCCAGTAGAATAGTCAACATCATCAAAGAATTAAAGGACCTCCTACATGATGACGCAGTCTTCACACTCCTGACGTGACTCTTGCCACGCCCCACTGAAAGTCCAACATTGAAAATCATCTCCTTTCGTCTTATTGGATCTCATTGAAAATATGCTGAGACGAAATGCTTTGCCAATTCTCGATTACTTTTTTCTGCAAAATTGAGCATCATACATTCTATCATTCTAGGTACAAACAATTATTCTACCGTGGATAAGTCCTTTTTGAGCCAGAGGCCACGCTAAATTACACCAGTTCCATTTTATCCGAATTGCGTTACGCTTACATGTGCCAGTGATCTTTTAAAATACTTAAGACCATTGCAGAGATGCACTTTTTATTTAAATTCAGAAAAGAAATAATTTTGATAGAAAACACAGTTTTTAGTTAAAATATACGAATTTTAAAGTGAATTACAATTTATACAGGAAGGGGTAATGTACAAAACAATGTTAAGTGTTTTGAAATTTCCTCAATAGTGATTCTCCAGATTTGGGAAAGGCTTTCGATCCATTGTAGACTCACAATGAGAGCAGAAAAAATAGTATTTTGTGCCTGAAAGATCACTGAATACCCTGTATCTCGTCTTCCTATACTACGTTTCTAGAATTTGAAATTAATGTTTTATTTTAAAAAGTTACCTTTTGTTATTCCATTTTTGAATTGATGCATAATCGTCAAGGCTGTGATATCCAGATTTAATAGTAAATATCCCATCTCCAACATGAGCTCTCTATAAAGAAATCAATATAGTAAATAAATATATTACAGTTTGAGCCGTAATATCCGGCCTTAATGAGTAAATTTTCTTTTGTATCCTTGACAAAAAGGAACTGAAAATAATACAAAAGTCTACAAATCTATATTTAAAGGAAGAAAAAAATACAAGAAATCTAACAAATAGCTACTGAGAAAAATGCTACTGAAAACATTGAGCCCTGCTTGATTGTAAGAAAAAACAGAAACACATCCATCTGGCAATCAAAGTGGTTATGATGCTTTTCCATCCCATTATCTTTACTAATAATACCACAGATTTCGATAATGTTTTAGTTTCTTTATTGATTAAATATTAATTTGTTGACACTGATGTGATGTGTATAGTTTGACTTCAGTTTTGGCAAAGTTTCAAAATATATATATTGAGGGTGATCATTACGGATGACCATTTCTAAATTTTTTTCGAACATTTGTAATATTTTAAAGTTTTAAATCGCACATAGTAAAAATGTGTTAAATGACCTGCGGAATCGTTTTGTGGTCGGAGATTTATAATCATTGTTTGATTATTTTCAAATAATATACTTTCCATTCTATACATTAATTCACATTTTTGATCGTTGAATTTTTGATTTCTGTGCAAAAAGCTTATATTTTTAGTTGTTTTTCTCTGATGCAGATTTTTTCAGATTAAGCTTCGAACAATACAAATTTGACGCTCTAATTGCAAGTAAAATAGATTTTGATACTTTTTAATTATATAAAACAGTCCAATAGTTCTAAAAATATGTTATATTATCGGAATCATATTTGTACTAAAATATAAAATCCAAAAAAAAAAAAGAAATTTGAAGAAAAATTTCTCCTTATTCCTTGATAATTGAATTTTTAAATGAATTTGAAATTAGATAACATGTGCAAATTTGAAACATTATTGTTTAAAAATGAGCAGTGTTTGGAAGATTTTACCTTTAACGCAAAAAAAAGAAGAAAAAAAAATTCATTCTGTGTTTTATCGCCGAAATTATTAAAATGCTTAGTATAATATTTTTTACTTATTTTGAAATTAATACGAAATAATAAGAAAAAGTATGAAAAATATGTTTACTAGAAATTCTGAGTCAAAGTCGCAATTGATAGAAAAATAAAGTCGAAAACAATTTCTATCTCATTTTAAAATATATTTTTACTACAAACGCTCTCCAAATGGAAAAAAACTTAGCCAATTTAGATTGAAACATAACCAAAGTTACAACAGAAAAAGAAGAAATCTTTGCCAGCATTTTTTTCCGAATTGGGCCTGTTTTTGTTCCCTAACTACTGAACTAAAATAAAAGTATGAAAACAATAGTTTATTACTCTACATTTTAACGTGAGATTTCACATTTTAATGCAATGATTAATACTTACGTTAACCATTTATCAGTCTTTGATGTGTGTATTTAATTAAAGTTAACTTACCTTTAGAATAATCACCACTCAGAGTTAGAACTTTTTATGGAAGTAAAGATAGAAACTAATCACATATAACTTTGAAATTAACTTCAAATTAATTAATACAGACACATCGAAATATTTAGTTGGTGAAACAATATTTAAAAAAAATCACATTCTTTTAGTTTCATTCAATAAGACCTTCGATTTAAGAATAATCATCTTTTTTTTTTCCTTCAAAAAATATTAATTATAAGAAAGGAAAATAATTACCTCATGCAAAATCCCAAATGTATGATTGACGAGCTTGAGGGGAAGTTGTATAAAGTTCTCAATGACTTGTGTAAGGTCGGCTACCATGGGCTCATGATAGCCTTCGTAAACCAGTTCTCTCACAGACTTGTGAATTAGCAATGTTTCATTATAACTTTCAAATATGCCATTCATCAATTCTACGACGAAAGATCTGAAGAATGCTGGAGCAAAATCTTCTACATAATTGATGACTGCCTACATAGTGATTATGTTAGATATTATTCCTGATGCACAGTTATTTGTTTACAAGAGCAAATAGTATAAAAATAGAAAAAAAATACAAGTAAGATAAACATTTGAACAGAATTAAAAAATGTATTTATATTGCGAAAAATAAACGCATTGAGTTGTGGTGTGAAAAAAATAACGAATTCATCTTTACTCCTTAATTTCTTTCTTAGTTTTAAGGAAATAGAAGGCTGCACTCGCTACGCGCTAACACTCACCAGACCACGGAAATGCCTTTACAGCTTTTGTCCAGATCACTTCGCTTTCACTTGCTCATTTCACTTTCTGACTAACGGGTAACAAATGGGGCCCCAAAAGTGAAGACAGGGGAGTAAATTGATATGCTGTTGCTGTTGCTTATCCCCTTGGTCTAGAGCCCTAGACCAAGTCCGGAAGATCATGCCGCATCAGAAAGTCATAGACAGTCTCTTCATCACTCATCAGTTGCCTCACAGAGGCACCAATGCAATCCAAACGATGAGATGGAGAAACGATAGCCGAGCAATGACAATAGGCATAATAAGTCTTTTCTTTGTAAATTGATATTCGTACCTTATGCGCAATTACAAAACTTGTAAATTAGATTTCCTTAAAAATTCAGATGTTTACTTTAGCTTATGTGGTTTAAATTTTATATATCAGTTATTTTTGCAATCGGTCAATAAAGAGGTTACAGTATTTGAAATGAGGTACAAAAGTACAATTGAGGTTTATATACAACAATTTATTGTAGCCCACAGAAATAGTGAAAAAAATGTATGGTTAGAAAATAAAATATTTTTTTGACTGATTAGAGATTGACTGATTAGCCCTCTCTACAATAATGTGTACCCATCATCAGGAATTTAAGTGGCTTCATTAGGTGGATCTAGTTGCTTCGATGAAACTCTGGTTGTTTAACCATATTAAGTGAAAGCAGTTTCAAAATGGGTTTTCTCACAGTTTGAATACCATCCTACTTATGGTTATTTGACTGTGGTAAAATAACTATTAAATAAATCGCTATTTGACCATTTTTTCAGAGAAGTTTCTAGCAGTATGCGTAAAAAAACCGTCATTTGTTTCAGCGCAGCATTTTTATTATTGTAGGAAAAAGATCGGTATTTTCTGTAATTATCCCTTCTTTCCTATTATGCACTGAACTGGTACGAGACTAGATATTTGATACAATAGTAAAATTTAAAAATGACCCTTTTTTGAACCTAAGCCTGAAACTGAGAAGGCCGATAGGAATAATAATTGAGGCTCAACCACAATGCTTGAATGCCTATTTATCTTAATTTTCTATGAGACAAATAACGATTCCAAATGTTACGGTGGTTTCAGTTATTATGCTTTCTTTCTTATAACACACTTGTTACGCACGTGAAAAAGAAAATTTCTCAGCTTTTGATACAGTAAAAGTTAAAAATGAAGCTAGCCACTACTTGAACCCATGCCTGAAATTGTATTAATTGAGGAGACCAGTAAAAAAATTATTAATTTTAACATGATACTATGATACATATTGAACGGAAATACGTTTTCCTTTCATCTTACTAAAGTTGCAGCAATTTTGCACAGTATTATAGTTCAAAATGCTTTCTGAGAAATGATATGGTTTCTGAGTGTAGGCTAGGTTAGATATGAGTTTCCATTTCCTCTTACTAAAGTTGCAGCAATTTTGCGCAGTATTATAGTTCAAAATGCTTTCTGAGACATAATATGGTTTCTGAGTGTAGGCTAGGCTAGATATGAGTTTCCATTTCCTCTTACTAAAGTTACAGCAATTTCGCACCATATTATAGTTCAACATAGTTTCTGAGACGTAATGTAGTTTCTGAGTGTAGGCCTGGATAAGCTCAAGATGAAACAAACTTTTGAAGTTCAAAATAAAAGCCGAAATTAATTGCAATGTCATAAATGACAGAATTCTTACTTACTAAGCCGAAACACGAGTATGAAAAATATCCTAAACTCAAGTGCATTAAAAATCTTTTTCTTGTCTTGTACACCCTTGGGCAAATTAATTGAAACAAGCTTTTTTTTTCATGTTTTTTAAAGACGATGTTTTGGGGTTGTTTCGGTTACAATGGGGTTGGACCTTTGCAGCCTATTAGCGGTATGATGCGTTCTGAGCAGTGCATTACTATTCTGGGTAAAGAAGTTGTTCCACAGTTGAAGAAACGATACCCTGATGGAACAGGGATTTTTCAACAGGATTTAGCTCCTTGCCAGACGTCCAAAATTGTCAAGAAATTCATGTCTGAGAACCAAATTGAGACATTGGAATGGCCAGGGAACTCTCCGGATATCAACCCAATTGAGAATCTCTGGGTCATATGCAAGAATCGCCTATTAAATATGGACTGTACAACTATGGAGAAGCTAATCACGGCGTTAATTCATGCGTGGTACAAGGACACAAATATTATAAATGACTGTAAAAAATTAGTGGAATCCATGCCGAATCGTGTCCAAATGTTAATAAAGTGTCGTGGAGATCATATTATGTACTAAAAATTTTTGAGTTTGTATAAATTTAAATAAAATAGCATTTTCTCTTAGTTTTCTGAATTTATTGAGTTAGTTTCAATTAATTTGCACAAGGGTGTACATTGAGTCAAAATGTAACGATTGTTGCAACGCTCTCAAAAAAGTTGTTTCTACGACGAACCATAATATAGATAGATACCTTACTGAACCTTATTCCGGTATAAATTTAGTTCAACTCAATACGGCGTTAAATTGAATCATGTTTCATTTCAAGCTAAACTGTAGTATGAAGAATGAAAAACAATTGTATGGTAAATTTGCAACAGAGTTTCTAACCGTATTCGGTATTATTCTAAATTGCACAACGAAGAATAGAACTTACTAAAAGAGGCCCATTTAGTGTATAAATCATCTCCTCTTGATTGCCCGCTGAAAGTTCTGGAACGAATGTGTATTCCTTTACATCTTTATATGTTACAGTACCATCAACATCATCCCACTCCATGTCCTCCTTATACCAACGTCCTCTGAAACAAATTCACAAACTATTCAGATTTCAACAAAACAATAAAAAGCATGACTTAATAACTATGCCGTTTTTTAAACTTTTTATATAGGAGGTGATAACTCTTTAAAAAAAATTGCGATTTTAAAAACTCTCAAAAAACTAATAATTAAATTTTCTTACATAGCTTTGAAGAATTTTTGATACTAACAGTATCTATGCGTATCAATGAATATATATTAGAAATTTTAAACATTATATATTAACAAATATATCAGTAGCTTTAAACATTACATGCATTAACAAAAAAGTTTGTTTGATACGCTGTTTACAATTTTGGAGCATGTTAAACCGTATTATCGTTTCAAATTTCTGCATCCTTAATATCGTAAAGCACCCTTAATTTTTTTTCAGAAAAATTGCACAATGATAGAGTTCTAGATACAATATTATGGTTCAAAGTAAAATCAAATTTTTTGAAACTGTTGTATTAAAAAGTTTATATCAAAAATGTACTTTACGTTTGCCAAACACGAAAAGGCATGCTATAAATTTATTTTTTTCGTTGCCATGTTTTTTGTTATCTATTTTTTAATCTAATTTCTAAGTTAAACTAAATAAATTATCTACTCAGTATCCTTTATTAATGCAAATTATTAATGAGGTATTTGGAGTCTACAACATTTTAATACATATTTCAAGATTCAATCTTAATTTTTTTCAATTTATCAAAAGAATGTGGAGTATTTTACTTCATCATCTTAATTAATACTTTTTGATCTGGAAAATTTCATCATAATAGTTTAGAAAAGCAACAGAAAGTATTCTTTTTTAGTTTTTTCTGGGAACACTTTTCTATGTAACAAATTTTAAAATTTGGTCAGAAGAAATTCTTTGATTTCCTAAGGAGAACGCAGCAAATCGTTTCGTTTTCCTTAACACTGATTTTTAAAATCATTGGTTGTATTTGAGTCAACTAATAGTCCATTTTTTATAGACTTTATATGAAAAGTAAACTTAATAATTTGATAATAAAATTTAAATAGAATTCCGTCAAAATTAATAAAATTTAATCAGTTTCCTTAAACGGTGCTCGATAAAAATTAATTTTTGTCAATATCTTAAAACTCTGACATGATAAAGCAAAACGGTTTTCAGCATTACAAGCTACATTAGTCAACATTGGTAAAATGACTGATTGATTAGTGTCATTCATTAAATCCGTTCCCCAGAACTCGACAGGTTTCCGCCTATATTCAGTGATTTTTATATTTCTTTATTGATGCATATAATATGGCATTATAATTATACATTATTCAATATGATACATTATAATATAACATCACACTACACAAAATGCATCATTATTTTTTTTACGTCATCATTTCTCAATAAATATCGAATATAACTAGTTAGAAAAGGATGAAATAAATTAACAAATGATCATAACATAGCTGAATAATAACTAATTTTATAAAAAATCAGGAGATAACAGTTTTTATTATTTCGTCATTCATTAAAATTACTTTCTCATGAACAAATATTTTATTTTTTATTAAAAAATATTTCATATACTATGCTGTGTAAAAACAAATTATCTCGAACCATTCTGATTATTTTGAAAAACTTAGAAACTGAATCGGCCTTAAGATTTTTTGGACACATTTTTGTCGAGTAAAAATTAGTCTGAAATTTTTTACAATGCGAGAAGAAATTGCATTACTCATAGTGAGATTCATATTTCGAACAGTAAATTAACATTAATCATATCACTTATAGTTCCCGCATTCACTTTTAATTCATTTTTTCTCGAAATATGCCATCTTTTCATTAAAAAAAATTTTCTTATAAAGAGTAGTATTAAGTTTCTTAATTACTAGTTTTTGATAGTTTTATTGTTATTTGTAGTGGTTATGTTTTTTATTTCTTTTTTGTCCCTTTAGTTTCTTCGCAGTTTTTAAAGTTCCTTGTTTTCTTTAAATTTTATTATTTGTTTAAATTGTTAATATAGTTCTTTTAATGATTTTTAGAGTTCTTTTTAGTGTTTAAGTTTTCTTTTATTACTTCCTTCATTGTTTCTGATCGACAGAGTTCTTTGTTTTTATAACTTTTAACTTTATTTTTTAATTTTTTTATAATATAGTATTTTATATTAATTTTTTGATTATATAGTATTTTTTATGATATAGTATTTTTTTAAAATTCTTTTAAAATATTTTTGTTTGTTTTAAAGCATTTTTTTAGTTTCCTACGTGCAACGGAAACTTCATCTATGAAATACCTGCAATTATATTTAAAAGTAATATAGATGAAAATTAGAGAATTTATCAGCAAATATCTTTATTAAAGAAATGTCATACGTCTGCGATTACAAACAGGTTAAATTTACCAGATTTTTTTAAACTTTTTATCTCTCTTTTCTTGTAATATTTGCAATGAAATAGTTCAAAACATGTAGAATAATCTAAAAAATATTTGGAACTTTTTATTTATTATTTCACATATCTGTTTTAAGGCATACACAATCCCTTAAAGTATTAAAAATATTTATTTTTAAAAAATTTCAATGTCTTAAAAAATAAAACCGTAATAGTTATATATTCGCATTTTATCGAGAAACCATTCAAAGGAAATTTCTTTCAGCAATGGCACCACGGTGCGTTTACACCTAGTAGGTAGCCCTCCTACCTCTTTAAAGTTTGTTCGCATATCATAAATTAGCTAAATTTCGAAAGTCTGTCTATCCGCGATACCAGAGATGCAATTGCATGCATCGTAATTTCTCTTTTTCGTTTTTCTGATTATATATTAGATGTTTAATAAACAAAAGAAAGTTTCGATTTTCATTACTGGTGACAAATTTTAGCTATAATTTTTGTGGTTTTCAGTTACTATCAATCTTTAAGTATCATAAATTAGCCAATTTTCGAAAGTGAAAAACTGTCGATACGCGATATTCGAGAAGCAATTGCATGCATCTTATTTTTTTTTTCCTTTTTTCTGATATATATAAGATATTTAATAAAGAGAAGGAAGTTTTGATTTCTATTACTTTTGACAAATTTTAGCTATGAGTTAAGTAGTTTTCAGTTATTAAATTCTATTACTAGTGACAATTTTTAGCTATAAGTTTTGTAGTTTTCAGTTAATAATTTTTAAGTATCATAAATTAGCCAATTTTCGAAAGTGGAAAACTGTCGATACGCGATATTAGAGATGTAATTGCATGCATCTTATTTTCTCTTTTCGTTTTTCTGATTATATATTAGACATTTAATAAAGAGAAGGAAGTTTCGATTTCTATTACTAGTGACAATTTTTAGATGTAAGTTTCGTAGTTTTCAGTTAATAAATTTTAAGTGTCATAAATTTGCCAATTTTCGAAAGCGAAAAAAGGGTCGATACACGATATTAGAGATGTAATTGCATGCATTGTAATTTCTCTTTTTCGTTTTTCTGATTATATTTTAGATGTTTAATAAATAGAAGAATGTTTCGATTTCTATTACTGGTGACAAATTTTAGCTATAAGTTAAGTAGCTTCCAGTTATTAAATTCTATTACTAGTGACATTTTTTAGCTGTAAGTTTTGCAGTTTTAATTAATTTCAGTTAATAATTTTTAAATATCATAAATTAGCCAATTTTCGAGAGCAAAAAACTGTCGATACGCGATATTAGAGATGTAATTGCATGCATTTTAATTTCTCTTTTTCGTTTTTCTGATTATATTTTAGATGTTTAATAAATAGAAGAATGTTTCGATTTCTATTACTGGTGACAAATTTTAGCTATAAGTTAAGTAGTTTCCAGTTATTAAATTCTATTACTAGTGACATTTTTAAGCTGTAAGTTTTGCAGTTTTAATTAATTTCAGTTAATAATTTTTAAGTATCATAAATTAGCCAATTTTCGAGAGCGAAAAACTGTCGATACGCGATATTAGAAATGTAATTGCATGCATTTTAATTTCTCTTTTTCGTTTTTCTGATTATATTTTAGATGTTTAATAAACAGAAGAATGTTTCGATTTCTATTACTGGTGACAAATTTTAGCTATAAATTTTGTAGTTTTCAGTTATTAATTATTTCTAGATTCTATCCAGTTATTAATTAGCTACTAACTTTTTTGAAGTTTTTTATCCGTAAAATTTTTGTAGTTTTTGGCTTTTTTCCATGAGGTTTAGTCATTTTTTAGTTGTTGTTTAAAGTTTTTAATTTTTCTTTAAGTTTAGAGTTTCTTTATAATTTTTATACTTTTTAGTTGTCTTTTTTATAATATTTGTTGCATTATTTTTTCAGAAGGGGAGAACACTACGTAATTACAACTGTTAAGCAGTCATCCTATTACTCTAAAATTTGCAAGCACAACTATTCTTCGAAAGTGAAGCTGAATAATAGGGATGCATTAGCACTTGAAGAGGGAAAGTATTTATTTCTATGAAATCTGAAGAACTGAGAAAAAACGACAGACCAGTTCTTATCCCCACTTTACTGCATAATAACTCCCAGAGCACGTTACTGTTTGATTCATATGTCCTCAAAATGCAACAGTCCAAAATCATCCAAAAAAAAAAAAAAAAAGATGAATTATCACTTGGGCTGTACTTTAGTTCATTTTATAAGTCTGGTTTTAGTGGTTTAGAAATGCTTAATTTGGTTCTAGAAAATTTGAATTTGTGGTTTTAATTAACTGAAAATTATCGCAGTCCAACTTATTTTCGTTTTCTTTTTTCCTATAGGGAGACGTTAATATATAAGTCATAGATTTATTGTTTAATTTATCCATATTCGTACACTTTTAATGTTTCGTAATCATCGCCCCTAAATACAATTTCAAAAATCATGTTAAAAAATTATGCACATTTGTGCTCGCGATGTTATATTTCAACAAGGAAAAAAGAAAATCGATATTTTTATACTATCGAAACTAAGAATGGAAATCGTGCTTGCATAAATTGACTGATTAAACTAATAGATCTTTCTACTCATATATCAAACCCTTTTATTTACTTTTGTGTAGCATTTGAAATACCACAACAATTCTTAACTTCTGTCCAAAATTCTTTATTTCAAATATCACATAAGCATTTCTGAGGTTATGTGAGCAATAATTATGAATATTTATAGTTATAAGCATTACTTATCAAACAAAGGCGAAATATATGTTCTTTAAAAGTGTAAGTTTAAGAATTATTATAACGACATCAATGCTTTAAAAATAAAAATTTTAAAAGAATTTCTGCCATTCCAGTAAATCTCGAAACAAAAAGAAGATATTTAAATGAATTTTTTTTATTTTTTTATTTTCGGAATGATTTATTAAAGCCATTTAAAAACATCAACTATGTATTTCTTATAATATATTTTGTTTTCCTACGCTATTTGTTACCTTATTTTTGTCAAGGTTTTATTTAATGTCAAGGTCGCTTATAACAAAACTGCGTCTAAGTTCACGGCATCTTTGAAAAGTGTTTCTTTCCGAGATTCAACTTACCTAAAAACATAAGGTCCTAATTCTTCCAATTTTGGTTTCTTGCCTTCATGTTCAAATTCGAAAGGATTAGTAATGTTGAAAATGTATATATTCTGGTAAATAGGAATGGGTAATTCTTTCCAGATGTCAAAAAATTCATTCCCAGGTTTTAATGTCAATTCCTGTAAAAGAAATTAAAAAAAATAGTATTAGCTTCAGACTTCTGGGTGGAAATCAAGTTTGGGTTACGTAAAAATAAGGAATTTATATATTTAAAAATTGTAAATAATACTTTTAAATTTGAGATGTCAAAATACAGTTTAGGAATGAAAATCCCATAATTACGTTTAGAATGCCTGGGGAATGACTTATGTCATACAGGAATCTAAAGAGCAGATTTGTTGGCCACTTTTTCAGGGACACCATATTAAGTGGGCCAACGTTAGGACAGTCCCACTGTAAGGACAGATAGTACAGTGCTTGAAAGAACATCCATGCCTTGCCCGGGATTCGAACCCTTCTGATGCAAGGTCAGTTCCCTGACCCCTACACGGACCGATCGGTAGGATTAGGATGTCAAAGTGTGAATTTTAAGAACGAAAATAACTTTGAGTAAGTTTGAGGGCTAGGAAGTTAAAATACTTAAATCATGAAGATCAAGAATGAAAATTAAATTCTCAAGTTTAAGGTTGAGGATGTCAAAATAACATAATTTATCAAATTACAATTATGTGTTTTGGAAAAGGATTTTAAAAATAGATTAATCAAAAAAAATTATTCATTTTTTCAATTTGAATATCTGAATTTGAATTTTAGAAGCTCGCTTTGTATAAACTGCAGACGCTCAATTTTGCTTTATTTTAAGACAGTCAGTGACATAAAATAATAATAATGATATGAAAAGAATATTTAAATATATAAAAACCGCCTTGAGAGTGATAGCAAAAATCTGAAGTTAAAGAATTTCAATGTCAGACTGCAAAGTTTCATGCTTTTAAATTAAATTTTTTTTAATCTGAAATATTATAACAACTCTTTTGAGCGCAATGCTTTGAAAGACTTTGATTATTTGAAATAATTACTGGTAAAATATTGTTATTTTTCATGTTTCTGTTCATAAATTATCGGATAACTCAAAAAAAAAACCGTAACTTGTATTTTAAAAGGAAACAAATGTTCATGTGATAGCTGAAATAATTAAACTTATATAGCATTTGTAGTCTTGAAAACTGTTATGTAAACTATTATGTTTGTAAGAAAATACCGTAATTTGTATTTTAAAATGAAGCAAATGTTAATGCGATAGCTGAAATAATTAAACTTATATACATTTGTAGTTTTAAAAGCTGTTATGTCTTATCTATATTATTATTGCAATGATATAGATAAGAAATATTCATCATATTATTACCCATATAACGAACGATATTATAAAATTATTCACTGTAGCTAATTAGTTAAAAAATATAAGAGGGAAAGTACTATAAGAATAAAAGCATATCATAGGAATGAGGTAATGCATTTCTAATCAACGGAGAATTCAAAAGGAAAATTAAAAATCTGAAATGAAAGAAGCCTTAACTTTCAATGTTATTGGCATTCACATTTATTTGTTGAAGCATTCGGAAAATTGTTCCAAATTAATGGGTATAGAGGAAAATATAAACTAACTAAAGGATTCTTTTTCTCAGAAAAGAGGGAAAATATATTCTTTCTCGAAAAAAACACTATTTGCAAGTGCTCTGATTGTATATTAAACATTAATTACTTGAGGGGATAAAAAGAAAAAAAATACAAAATGTTAAAGAAAAAATCGTGATGATTTATAGTTTTATAAATAAACTATATGCAATATTTATATATTTAACTATTTACAGTATTTTTATACTGTTAGTTTTAGTTGAATATCGCTCTAGTGACCCATTCATCAAGTTAACACTGTTAGAAATGTTCGACCCAGATAAACTATAATATCTTTTTGATACAGTTATATGTTAAACCATATTACAATTTTTCTTTAATTTGATTTTTTTATTTGTTTTATATTATAACTGTCGTTGAACAGCCGACCCAATTTTTTGGTTAATGACTCCGTAGCCTTGTAATTTTGGACACAACCTGTAGTTTTTTATTTTTTACTTAAATCAAATGCATATCAAAAATTCTGACTGTCCAATAGCAAGGTAACCATCAAGGAGAATTCAAGAAAACTAAACATCCAGTCAACGAATGTATACATCGCACATAATGATCATCGAATGAAGGTAATCATCGCATAAAATTCCATAAAATAAAATTATTTAATTTTAACCTTTAAATTTAGCAAAGCAAATAAATAAATAAAAAAATTTCTGATATCAAGGATTTATCTTTGTCTTAAACATCAGGATGTATAAGAATAACTCATTAGCACTTGTTTTTCTCATTAGCACTTAAAATTGAGGAAGAGTATTGTACTACATGTACGTTAAATCAGTGTAATTACTTTGCGGAAAATTTCAGTATTAATATTTGTAGCTGTTGCATTCGAGTCATGCAGTCGAAAACTATTTTTTTTAAATATATATTTTTTTTAGTGTCTGAAAAAAAAATTTCAGTCAATTTGATTGGAAAATAAAGCCATGTATATGTTCTGTCAAAATAATGTTCTGTTCAAGATTAAGTATACATTTTTGAAAGAAAATAAATTTATTTTTGCTAAGCATAAAAAAAATTTAAAATGTAGCTTGAAATAGCTTTTGTATTGTTCCTTGAATCAATCTAAAGGCCTGTGCTACAGGTTGCACAAATACATTTCCCCAAGGGGTTATGCAACTACCAAAATGTAGAAAAAAAATTGTGTTCTTAGTAAAGCTGTAATTTTTGAAATATTCTTGTAAAATGCTCTTATATTATAATTTTAAGCTTATATTCTAGGTTTTTAATTTATTTAACTGATTCCATCTTAAACCGTGTAGCATTCGCAGAATATATGAAAAATGAATTTTAATTGTTAGAATATTGAAATTCAATCAACTTCAAAAGAAAAGAACTTAAATGAATACCATTCAAGGAATAACAGTCAATTGCCTGAGGTACTACACTAAGTAGTTTAGATGGAAACTCATTGATAAAAAAATAAATAAATTCTGAAGAGTACAACAGAATGTGTTCTCAAAGAATTAGATTACAAGACAAACCCTCAATTTGTTTCTCACAAAAATTCTTTGATTACTGAATTATTATTTTATAAATATATAAGAAAAAATTGGATACAGAACACAGGAGAAAATTTACTTAAAAATTTCGAATTAATCAGATTATATCTTTCTTTTTTTTTTAAAAAAAAAAAGAAAATAAAGAAAGCGACAATGAAAGAAATTAATCCATTAAAAACATGGATCATTTTAAGAAAGGAATGCTTTCTCTACTGTTTTCAATCTTATTTATATTTTATTGTCTAACTTGAAATTAACTGTAAATTTTGAATTGGGCAGTTCATATTTCTCATTTTTATACCGATTATAAAAAGAACATACACACACATCAATGCAAGAGTAAGTATGGATCATTTTGGAGAAAAGATAGCTTTCTTCACCTATCTAATCCATCTTTGATTTAAGTACATCACGACAGTAGAGAAAAGAAAAACGTGTTTGAAATCCCTAAAAAGCCCAATGCCGTTTGCATTAAAAACGAAGACCGTTCCGCATTTGGTGATAATGCAGACTGAACTTGATCTCATCTCAAAGGTTTATTTAGGGGGAAGAAAATAGTTTATTTGATTATAACGAAAATAACAACAATAAAAAACTTTATGAATGTTGTTTGGGTACTTCTTTGCTATAGCTCTTTAATTGTTGCATTTATTGTATCTTTTTCATCAGTTTAAAGATTGAACTACAATTCTATAATTGAAAGGCTTAATAAAAGAAGATTATAAAGGAAATTTTTTTAAAAAATATAATAACTCTAATAACGATCTTATTTTAGACTTATTTAATTATAAAACATTGATTTATATTGCCAAGTCATTATATTTTGAAGATCTCATTGGATGATTGATACTAATTTATTATTTTTTTAATGTTTCTGGAAAAGAAGAAGAAACCAAGAGCATTTGGAATAAACAATAGACGATTTTAGAAAGCTTCTCTCTTTTTCTTCCTAAATAAAATAAACTATTGTATAAAAAAAATAACTATTGTATAAAAGTTGTGTAAACTATTGTATAAAAGTTATTTTACTGAAATTCATGAAAATGAGACCTTTGTCCACTCATCTTTTTAACTATGAAATATGAGGCTTTTGCCTTTTATTCTACTATATTAGTGATTAATTAGTTAACTATAGGGTATAAGTACTTTTCACTTAGTACTGATCATGAACTAAATTAAGATATTTAACATTCTTAGGTAAGAACTTACTATTTGTGAATAATCAAAAGACCATTTTAAGTACAGAAAACTTTGTATAAATTTATAACACATTATTTAGATAAGGTTTAGAACATATGTTACATATATTAGATGTTATGTATTAATGTATTATTTTACGGTATTCCTAAACTGTATTGATGTATTTTTTAATTGCATTTAATTATAATGTATTCTTGATATTCTTTAGGCTAGTACTTACTATTTTTGAAGAATCAAAAGATGATTGTAAGTTTACAAAACTTTTTACACATTCGAAAACAAACAGTGTTTAGTGCATACGTTACATATAATATATATTAAGTATTAATGTTATTTTTTGTAACAGGGACGAAGTTAAAAGGAGGGGATCCGAGACACCCCGTGAAATTACAAAAGAAAGGAAATTCGGGCCAAATTTTTAATAACTATAAAATGCTTTTTTTTATGTTGATTTATATTTCTAACAAAATAGTAGAAATCTTTTCTTATACCGAAATGTAGGCGAAAATAAATTATCTCCTAAATTTTGACTCCTACTTTAACTGAAACAAACCCTTGCCGTCAGGCTAACTATGAAAGGTTTCCGTGATTTCCTCCATGAAACGCAAATGCGGGTTAGTTCCTTTCAAAAGTCCTCCACAAAGGCAATTTCTCCCAATATGTGATACAGAAGCTCCCTTGTCTTCTGGATTAGGTTCAAAATTACAAGGCTACGGAGTTGAACATTAGTAGCTGTAAACCCTAAAAATTGGGTAAGCTGTGCAACGACGGTTATAAAGTAAAAT